CTGTGACAGTAAAAACAAAAACGAGTATCACGACTTCCCCCACGAAAGGAATGTCCACGAGAATGATATCCACGACCACCACGAAAGCTACGAATGGGACCACGAGCAATAGAAGAGCGAGAATCATCATGGTGAGCAGCATTCACATTGGGCTGAAGAGATAGTGCAGAAAATGAATTAAGCTGTTCAAGTCTGCTTTCAAAGGCCATTAAGGAAGCCTGGGCATCAATCCATGTAAGGTTAGGAACATCAACAAGCTTAACAACAATAGCATTATATTCAGCATCCAAACCACTAAGAGCTTGAGTAATGAGATCCTCAGTTGAGACAGGAGATCCTGCCATTGCAAGTTGATCAGCTAGATTCTTCAGTTTGGTAAGGTATGCATCCATTTTCATGCCATTTTTCCTGGTACTTTGGAGTTCTGATTTGAAGACAAGCACATGAGCTTTAGTAGATGCAATTGCCAGAGCTTTAGCACTATCCCATATCTCCTGGGCAGTTCGGCAATACAAGAGTTGAGCTCCAATGTCCATGCTCATTGTGTTTCTCAGCCATCCGACGAGCAAACGATCAACAGCGCACCACTCAATGTAATCAGGATTTGGTTCAACACCTGAATCATTTGTAGCAGTAGCAAATGAAACTGGACCAACACCATTAATATGGGCCTCTAACTTGCTGCCCTCAATCAGTGGAAGAATGATAGACTCCCAAAACAAATAGTTTCCTCGTTCCAACTTGACCGAGGTGATCTGATTACTAAACAGGGGATTCGTTTTAGAAACAGTGTGAACAGTAATAGTAGGAGAAACAGAGGATGCATTAGCAGTAACAGTGGACGAAGATGATGACATTTTTGAATAACAGAAAATATCTCTTGCTCTGATACCAAGAAAAGAATCAGACAAGAAATGAAGAGTGCTCTGAATAGTGCGGTGCCTTGGCCTACCATTTCCATTGATATAAATAGTACAAGTCTGTGCAAAACCGTTACAAGGTAACAAATGAATAAATGACACATAGTGAGAGAAACTATACAAGGTACAAAAGTCATCCTTATCTACAAAATAACTAATTACATAATTAAGACTCATATTATTTCCTAACAGAGAGAATAAAAAAAAATATCTTTTTTATTTGAGAACTGGATGTATTATCAAAATTACTTTGTCACAATAGTCTTCCACTATAGAGTAGACCTAGATTCCTCTACATCATCCTTGAAGGATTATATCTAGCAAACTAAATAAATTAGCTTAGAACAAAGACAATTATAGATATTTAAAGAATCTAAAATACTTTCTGAAATATCTCTATTGACAAATTGTTATAAGACAATTTCAATACCTTGAGTGAACATATATTGAAAATTATTGTTGAAATCTTTAATGAAAATTTGTTGCCCACAACTTAACTTATAAGATGATATATATATATATATATATATTGGTTACTTTCTGCCCTAATCATTTTAATGTTATATTTTTCTCTCTCTTCATCATTCTTTATTTAGTTAACTTCTTTTTCAGTATTTCTCCTATCTCTTATCTCCAAAATTTTTAATTTCAAATTAGGTATTTATCAATTAATTAGCAAATGAAAAAATTTAACTTGAAGAGCACTATTTAATTTCACAAAGCATAATTTTCATAGCACAGTTCCATTCTAAACCCAAATGAATTAAATGATACATTTTATTTATTTTCCTATTATTGAGAATATGTCGCTAATAAAATGTATGTTTTTATTTAATTTCATAAAGTTTTATGTTTGTTTTCTTTACTGTTATAGGATAGGTTGTGATATAGCTAGTCGGTGTACTATTTTTTTCTTTATTTTAATTTCAATTTCAATGATTACTGTCTAACTTGGTTTTTTTTTTTGGGAGGGGGAATTAGTTGTACTTTTTTAGCCCAAGAAATGATTGAACTAGCTTTTTTTTAGTTATATTTAAAATTTTGATTCAATTCCTATAATATAATATGTAATTGATTTTCTATATTTATTTATATATCTTTGTCTATTATTAAATTTTTAATTCATCTATTTTATGTTTTAAAGATAAAAAAGTTTTAATGAAATAATTATAATTGATTTTGTTTCATATCATAGAATATATGAAGTTAGAATAATTTAATTTAAATTTATTGATGTTATCTTTTCAGATTTGGCGTATTAATTATTTTTGCCAAATTCCTAGATATCTTCTAAGATGTATTCGACTCATTCAAGAAATTAGATTCTAAGTTCCTTCAATTAAATATGATAAAAAATATGAAATAAATGTTTGTTGATTATATATGGACTTGAAGTATGAGGCAAGGACTGATGGACCAGAAGATGTGATTTTTGGGCTAAGGATATGTGGGCTTACATTGAAGTGCTCTGATTAGAAGATTTATTTTTAAACAGTTTAAGTTTTTTTACAGTAATTATTGATATAAGATTAGAAATAATGATAATGAGTAACGTCAATCTTGCTATGATATAATTGAAATTATATTTATTAAATTTATATTATTTGTCACACCAAGCAATATATGTAAATAATACTATAACCATTTTATTTTATTTTATTATGTATGTGAGATTTTTTTTTGTTTTTTAAATTAAATATTTTTTATTGATATAAAATAAATATTTTTCTAGCAATGCAAGTGATAAAGTACATATACATATTTAAAATGCATTTGACGACAAGAAATGTGATAACAAAGTTAAAAACAAAAACAATAAAAGCCTTCCAAGTTGTTTTCTATAGGTCTGTAGACATATCATGGGCATAATTAAAGTTAATTACTTCCAAGTTTTTTTTCTACTTGTGTTAAAACAAAAACAAAACAAAACTTGCCTTTGGAAAAAAATGCAGGGGAAATGAGAAATAAAAGACAAGAGAAAAGCATCAAAATCCAAGTGGTCTTAATCATCAAAATTCAACATTCTTGAAAGTTTGTTGTCACTTGTAAATAATAAAAATCATTTAAAATATAATGCTTTTAAAGATGTGTATTTACTTTTTGCATTTGGAAAAGTTTCCACAAATATAACTGATTTAAAATTTTATTTAACCGTTAGATGAGTATGTGTCATCAAAATATATATGTTTGTGAAAACAAAATGATCTCATTTCAAATTTATTTCTACCGAAGAGATTGGGAAATTTTTGTTGAAATCACTCCTGAAAATTTGTTCCCTACAACTTAACTTATAAAATGATATATCTTTTTTTTTCTTTTCTCTCCTATTCATTTAAACTTTATATTTTTCTCTCTACTCGTCATTCTTTATTTATTTAACTTCATTTTCAGTATTTGTCCTATTTAACTTCTTTTTAATTTGAAATGTATTATTTAATTCCACAAAGTATAATTTTGGAATTAAAAATTTAGGGCCGTTCCTCTCTAAATTCCAATGAATTAAAATGATGTATTTTATTTATTTTTTGAGTATTGAGAATATATCATTTATGTACTTTGTTATCAATTTCAGAGTTTTGTGTTTGTTTTCTTTATTGTTACAGGATAGGTTGTGGTACATGTAGGTTTGTTTACCATTTTGTTTGTTTATATATCTTTATCTATTACAAATTTTTCAACTCCTCTGTTATAAGTTTTGAAAAATAAAAAAATTAATGAAATACTTATAATATACAATTCTTGGAAACTTATGAAATAAATGAAAAAAACAAAACTATGAACTTATCTATATGTGAGGGAAAAACTAATGTGCCAAAGATGTGATAATTGGGCTTGAGATATGTGGACTTACATTGAAATGCTATGGTTTAGAACATTTGCTTTAAACAAATTCCAAAGAATCCAGCCCAAAAAAAAAAAAAAACAAATTTCATTGAAGATTGGCTAATAAAAAATTTAAGTTTTTATACAATAATTATTGATATAAGATTAGAAGTAATGATAAAAATAGCGAAGTGTCAGCTTATAAAAAAAAATAGTAAAGTGCCAATCTTGTTATGATATAATTGTCATTATAGTTATTAAATTTATATTGATTCTCATTACATCAATAATTAATATATTAAACACTACTATCACCATTTTCTAGCAACACAAGAGAGAAAGTATATGTTAAAGTGAATTTGGCAATATGAAACGTCATAGAAAAAATAAGCATAGAAACATAGAAAACCTGTTTCAAGTATATATTGTTAGAAACTTATATATTAGAGCCAAAAATTCAAAACACATTCAGGTATATAGACATATCATGGATATAATTAACTTTAATACCTTTCAAGTTGTTTTCTATATTTGTAAAAAAAAGAAAGAAAAGAAAACTTGCTTTGAAAAGAAAAACGTAGGGAAAAAATGAAAAATAAAAGGCAAGAGGGAAGAATCAGAATCCAAACTATCCATTATATTATTTTTATATTATCAAATAATATCATTATAGTGGAAATAAATATAGATATTACAAATCTTTCAAAGATGTGCAATTACTTGATGTTTTCTACAAATATAATTGAATTAAAATTTTATTTCACCATAATAAGTGTGCGTTGTGAACACACATATAAATCTCATGATAAAAACATGGACAACAAAAGATGAAAAACTAAAGGATATATTATCTCAAATTTATTTCTATTTGAGATGTTACACACCCATATGGATATGGGTATATCTGTGAATGAATTTGCACACTTAGCTTATAGATTTTAGAATGTTGCCATCCCAATTAAAAATTCTTTCTTCACTTTCACCTCACTTTTACACTTCTATATATCATATATGTTACTTTATTCATATTCACTTTGGGATTAGTTAATCTAATCCAGAGCTAATTGACATATAAAGTATCATATTCCATGCCTTTAAAAGTAATCTAGCAGAACTATCAATATTCACTAGTGTCTTATCAAAATGTGGAATAGAATTTAAGACAATCTTATGAGTAAAACTCTTACCTTGCAAGTTGATGTCGGAAAGAGATAATACTTGGAGGTTGGTCAAATTTTCAATGTCACTTGGAATGATTCATGGGTTGAACATGTTATAACTTAATTCTAATTGCGCTAATTCTTTGCATTGATGCCAAATGGAAGGTATTTCGCCAGACAAATCATTTTCAGCCACAAAAAATAGTTCAAGCTTTGGAAGCTCAAGACACACATTTGTTGGAAGACTCCCTGATAATTGATTCATTGAAAGTTCAATCTCTTGTAGCTTTGAATTGTTAAACAATGAAGATGGTATAGAACCAACAAGTTGATTCACTTCAAGGTACAACATCTTTAGTTGTGAAAGATCACCAATCTCATTGGGAATGTCTCCTTGAAATATTAGGAGGGAGAAAAAAGAGCATGTAAGTAACAGTTTTATATTTTTATAAAATAAAAACATATATGGTATGGAAAAAAACACAAATATATTCCAAATGATTAAACACAACTACAATTATTTTAAAACAGGAATTACCATGCATGCAATTATTTGGATATGTAGGATAACGTATTGGGCCCATTACATTGTTTTATGCTTCAGTTCAGATTATTATTTTACTTCGTTTCATATCATAGGATAAATGAAATTAGAATAGTTTAATTTAGATTTATTACTGTTATCTTTTCAGATTTGGTGAATTAATTATTTTTGGCAAATTCCTATATATCTTGTAAGATGTATTCAACTCATTCAAGAAATTAGATTCTAAGTTCCTTCAATTAACTATGATACAAAAAATCTAAGAGACACATTGAAATCTAATTTGGCTGTTGCGTTTCATCATTCGTATCAAAACACATTTGTTGGGAGACTCTAAAAAAAAAATTCCTGTTTTGCTAACTACAAGCTTTTTAAAAATTAAAATTAAAATGAAATTTAAATTATCCAAATCAAAATTAAATGTTCCAAATTTGTGCTTTGTAAGGGTTACTCATTTTTTTTAATGAAAAACTGACCATTAAAAAAGTTTTTAATGAAAGAATAGTAAACATTTATTTTTACTCATTGGTTTTAGATCTGTTCGGACTATCGTTATAACAGTATTATTTTTCCCATGGTGTGACTATATTAACTTAAATATACATGAAAAAAAAATGCTGGCAAAACATAAAAAGAAATGTACATAAATTAAAAAAAAACAGAAATTGAGACAAACCTAGATTCCTCGATGGCAATACATATAAACAATATTATTACATTCAAAGATAAATGAGCCTTTTTATCCGTTTGGATTAATAATAATAGCAGAAAATTGGATGACAAATTTTCTAAAAAGATAAAAATGTTGCAAAGTAAAAAGAAGAACATGCATAAAAATATAAAAAAAAAAAACAAGAAGAAGAAGAAGAAGAAGAAAACAATTGAGACAAACCCATATTCCTCTACGTGATCCTTGAAGGGTTATAGCAAGCAAACCAAATTGACAAGTTCAGAACAAAGACAATTATATATGTTAAAAATAATCCAAATTGTTATAAGACAAATTAAATAACTCAAGTGAAGATAAGTTGGAAATTCTTGTTGAAATTACTCCTGAAAATTTCTCACCAACAACTTAACCTGGAAAATGATTATTGTTGTTACTTTCTCTCCTATTCACTTTAACTTTATATTTTTCTCTTTTCTCATCATTGTTTATTTATTTGACCTCTTTTTCAGTATTTGTTCTATTTATTATCTCCCAAATTTTTAATTTCAAATTAAATAATTATTGAATAATTGTTATAAGAAAAAATTTAATTTGAAAAGTATTATTAAATTTCACCAAGCATAATTTTGGAATTAAAAATTTAGCACAGTTCCTTTCTAAACCCAAATAAATTATAATGATGAATTTTATTTGTTTGTTGAGTATTGCGAATATCTCGTTTATGTACTTTGTTATTAATTTCAGCGTTTTGTGTTTGTTTTCTTTATGTTATTGGATAGGTTGTTATTCAAAACCAAGTTAGACGGAGTATGTAGGTTCGTGTACCATTTTTTTTTTTTTGTTAATCTTAATTTTAGAGTATGTAGGTTTTGAAATTTATTAAAAATGATTTATTTTTTTTATGAAAAAGAAGAGTGGTTTGAGAGAGCAAGATATGGTTGAACAGATTTCTTTTTAGTTTTAAAACTTCGATTCAATTCTGATATTATAATTTTAAATTTATTTTGTATATTTATTTATATATATTTTTGTATATTTAATTCCTCTACTATAAGTTTTAATAATGAAATAAATTAATTAAATAATATATACAATTCTTGGGAAAAAAATGAAATAAGTGTTTAATGATATATGAATTTGAAGTGTAAGGCAAATACTAATGGACAGGAATTTGGCCCCAAAAAAAAAAAAATAATGGACAGTAAGATGTGATAATTGGGCTTGGGATATGTGGGCTTGCATTGAAATGATCTGGTTATTACTTTTAAAAAATTTAAGCTTTTTATACAATAATTAATATTGATATAAGATTAGAAGTAATTTTTTTATAAGATAAGATCAGAAGTAATGATAAATAGTAAAGTGTCAATCTTGTTATGGTATAACTGGAATTATATTTATTAAAAGTTTTTATTATTTCCCATGAAGTTACATCAAGCAATATACATAAAAAATACTATCACCATTTTATTTTCTTTTACTATGTATATGTGATTTTTTGTTTGTTATTAAATATTTTTATTGCTATAAAGGCGACAAAGTACATGCATGTTTAAAATTCATTTGACAACATGAAATGTGATAGCAAAATTAAAAACAAAAACAAGAAAAGCTTTTTTAGTATATTGGTAAGAGCCTATATATTAGAAACGAAAATTCAAAACTCATCCATATATACAGACAGATCATGAATATAATTACAGTTATTGGTAAAAAAAAAAAAACAACAAGAGAAGTTGCATGTGAAAAGAAAATGCAGGGAAAATGAAAAATAAAAGATAAGACCAAGGTTGTTAAACTCACGAGTTTAAGTAAACTTGTGATAGAAATGTAAACTCGTATCTCAAACTCGGATCGTAAACTCATAAGAGTTTACCTCTATTAACAAATAGCCATTAAAATATTATTGTAATTTAATTTAAATATATTAAAAATATAAATTATTGAAATTAAACCCATATACATTGATAAATTATCATATACAAGACATACAAATTTTAAAATAGAGGAACTTATTTTTGATATTTTTGTTTTTTTTATTAATATTAGTTTTTGCATTTTAATTTCTTTTTTTTTTGGAATCAGTTCTTATAATTTTTATGAACTAAATTCTTCATAGTATATAATTCGCTCAACTCAAAACAAATGATGAGCTTAATAAGTTTAACTAAGCTTGCATCTAGTCTGAGTTTATAAATTAGTTGATACGATTTTGTAAGTTAGAAACTTAAAAACAGTAAACTCGGAAATAAACTCGCGAGTTTAACCGAATTTATATCTAGTCTGAGTTTATGAATGAATTGACATGATTTTATAAACTGAAAACATAAAAATGTTAAACTCTAGAGTCAACTCGAAAATTTGACAATTATGAATAAGACAGAAGCATCAAAATCTTAGCGGTCCTTTTTCTATTATCTCTATCAAATTATATCATCATAGTGAAAATAAATAATGTTGATATTACAAATCATCAACATTAAACATTCTTAAAAGCTTATTGTCATCTACAAGTAATAAAATTCTTTAAATTAAATATAATCCTTTTAAAGGTGTAAAGTTACTTTTCGCATTCAAAAAAGTTTCCACAAATATATAACTGATTTAAAATTTTTATTTCACCATTATGTGAGTGCGTGTCGTCAAAATATGTGTGTAAACAAAATGATTTCATTTCAAATTTATTTCTATCCAATAGATTAGGAAGAAAAAAAACATCATTTACTTCAACAGCCCAAAACCATGTACATATACGGATAGGGACATATATGTAATAGCATCCAAACATAATTCTTTATATCATATATATCATTTTAATCATAATTGCTTTGGGATTAAATAGTTAGTCTAATATTCTAATCCAGAGCTAATTGACATTTTATTCATAATCACTTTGGGGGAAAAAAAAAAACACACACACACACACAAATGGGCATACTTGTAAATGAGTTGGTGCTCAAATATAATTTTTTGAGAAAAATTGCCATTTAAATGATTCCCTCCCAGGTTAACCTCTCTTAAAGGAGGCATGTTCCAAATAAATGAAGGAATTTCATCTAAAAAATGCAAAATATTTAATTTATTTAATTTGATGATTTAGAAAAACTAGCTTATATTTCAGGAACGAAAATATCTTCAGCTTAAACTGTTGGAAGCAATATAGAATAAGCATAAGGAAGAATTTTCTAAAGTATGCATTCTTTTATGCATGCTTACAGTATTAATACTTTCTCAATCTAGTGTTGCATGTGTTTTACGTTAAAGATGAGAGGGGTAGTCATATGCATTTTTATTGACACAAGATTCAAAAAACAAAATTTATACTTAATGATCAAATCCATCCTTAGAAAATAAAGCTCACAATGTTAAGAAATATAATTATTTTCAGAAATTGAATTTATTACTAACTTATTAAGTCCCATATAGGGTATCAACGTACATAGGCCAATTAAGATTATCTTTCTAGTTGATAATAATATAACCTATATCTTGTAAAGACACATACTTAAAGTAGGTCATGGATGCGAGATCCTTAGTGGATGTTAACATGTAAATGTATGTGAAAGTAGTTTTGGAGTTATAAAGCATATCCTAAATCTTAAGTTCTCAATTATTGAAGACTTAACTCCTAATTTTTTTTTTCTAACTGATATAAATTATAAAAAAGTTGTAGTGGGTTTCATTGCTATCATTGTCTTGGGGGTATCTGTGAAGTCATTGGCTTACTTCCTTTGAAGTGTCCCAATCCAAATGTCACACTCCTTAGAATTTAAACAAATGCCTCTTTTTATAGAATGATAAAACACAAATTAACACAAAAATTTCAATATTAGAACTAAGTTATTCAATAGTATTATTACTTTTTTTGAGTGAATTCAATAGTATTATTAATGAAAAAGTGAGTGCCATGTTATATCGCCTTACTTTTTGAATAGTTAACTTCAATTATGAAAATGAAGGCCACAGATTTTTGGTGGTTTGTGTAATTATAATGGATTTAATAATCATCATTAACAAAAAAAACAACGTTCGCATCTACCATTGGTTTAAGAACAAAAGAAAGAGATGAAAATGAAGAGAAAAGAAGCTTACACTTCCCTCCAAGTCCAAATCATGTTATAAATGTGCTAATTTATACATTTCATATATGAATTAAGTATAAATTCTTTCTATCTAAAGTTTGAATTTTATTATATTTATTTTTAGCAAATAATATACATAACAAAAATTAATATTTGACTACAAACTTTTTTTAAACGAAATAACAGTTAGTAATAAATAATAAAATTAAAATATAATTTAAATATCCAAATTAAAATTGAATGTTCTAGGTCCATGTATTGTAAGCTTTATTCATTTAGAAAGAAAACCCTTCAAAATGTTTTCAATGATCGAATAGACTATTATTCCCATGCTAGCTATTATTTGAATGCACTGTAGTAAAGAAACAAATACCTATTGCTTCAGTTTCATATAGATAAGTGATTTATTGAAAACAATTGATGAAAAAAAATTTAAAAAATGCATAAAAAGTCCAACTAAAATAGTCGAGACAAACTTAGGTCCTACCACATGATCCTGAAGGGAATATATCATGCTAACCAAATAGACTAGTTTAGAGCACAAATAAATATAGGTATAAAAAATAATCCAAAACATCCCTGACAAAGTGTTATGAGACAGACTTAGCAATTCAAGTGAAGATAAGTTAGAAATTGTTTGGGGAATAATTCCTGAAAGCTTGTTAACTGTAAGTTGTAAAATCTTCAAACACTTGAGTCTTCCTACCTCAACAGGAATCGTTCCTTCAATTAAATTATAATTCCAATCTAATACCTCTAACCTTGATAGATTGAATAGAGATAGTGGAATAAATCCATCAAAACTATTATTTCCAATATTTAAGTACTCCAATATGGATAAATCTCCTATCCATGCTGGAACTTGTCCATGAAAGTCATTGTAGCTCAAGTTCAATAGTTTCAATCTACGCAATTGAACTAACTCTCTTGGTATTTGACCATAAAAACTGTTGCTACTAAGATCAAGTTCAACAAGAAATGAGATATTCCCCAATTGTGGAGATATGGTACCTTTAAGATCCATGCCACCAAGGTTCAAGGAACGAACCCTTCCATGGCGAGTATTGCAGGTGACACCAACCCAATTGCATGTAGAAGAAGAGACAGACCAAGTAGATAAAGAATCATATGGATTTGAAGTGATTAAAGATTTAAGGCTAAGAAGTGCAGATTTATCAGTAGTGATGTTTGCATCGATCCAGGCTAAGGAGGATATGAAGCAATGGAGTGAGAAGATCAGGAAAACAAAGGAAGGAGATTTTTTCATGTTGAGTATATCAGACTTGTCAAAATTGCAAGTTGTGTATCTAGGAAAGCACACATCATTTTATACTTCTCCAATTCCAAAGCAAGTCAAGGCATGCAAACACAACGACAAATGGAAAATTAAAATAACTCTCTCATGATAAGATTAAGAAATTCAACTAAAATATTAATTATAATTAGCGTGTTAGGTAAATAATATCTGTTTTTTTTTTTATATTAGAAGATATTGTTTTTAACCTTCTCTCATTTAATTTTACCACATGGATATTACAGCTGTCAAGAGTCTTCAATTGATGAATATGTAATTCGCAGTGCTATTTCAACGGGAATGAGTGCTTTTTTTTTTTTAATGGAACCAAGTAATTTTGTTTTAAATAAAAAAGAATGCGCATTGAATGGGTTCCATATTAATCAATCAATCAATCAAAATAATCAAAACAAAAATACAAGGAGAGAGGGACGAAAAAATTTGCAGCCCAATACAAATCTGAATACCGTTTCCAATAGAAATCTCATAGTATGTAAAAATTTTATTTTATTGACTCGTGTTTGTTTTAAATTAATTTTAATTCTCTACTTGTCTTGTATTTATAGATTATTTATTTTAATGAATATATAATAAAATACATAAATTGTATGGAAAGGTTATTTACAAATAACACAGGCAAAGGTTAATTAAAGTGTATCTTTTCCTCCTCCAAACAAATAGGCGCAAGTATGTACAACAAATAATAAAATAATGAGTACTGTATGATCTGAGGGAGATTTGTTCACAGACTTTGTTCAATACCGATTTTTACTCATTAACCTTTATTATCATCATTTAGTGAAACCACTAATTGATTTACAAGTTTAATTACATCAACTTTACCACCTCCAATATAATGACCTAAAAGTCTAAAAATAGAAACTTTATGAAATTTTAAACAATGGCTATCAAGGAAAAATAATTATCGTTAAAGAGAAAAAAAGTTAATCTAAAAAATTTTAAATGAATTAATTAATATGAAAAGCTTAGAAAATTGATCGCCAACAATAAGTCCATATGACTAATTTTTATTATTAAATTCCTTTTTGGTTTTTTTTTTTAAAAAAAGGATACATCCACTTACTTTCATGGTTTGATAAAATTTCCTCGAAAGTGTCGGTACATGGCATGCTAGGCTTTTTGAAAGCCTTCATAATTTAATCGGATGTATTATACCAATCATCCTTTTGTAGGTGCATAGAGTGCTTGACTTGTGAGTAGACCTCAAAGTCACAGTACTCCGTTTAACACGAAATAGTTTATAAATATCTCTTGATGTATATTTTTTTTAATTGCTTATAGGTTTTCTTTCCTTAGCCAATTACTCAAATAAAAATATCACATGCAGCCAACGTCAAAAGTTGCATCACATTTTCCTTAATTTAACTCATCATGGGAACATGGGCTGGCCCATACGAAAGACTTTTAATGAGAACACAAATAACTAAGAAAAATTAAAAGTTGTCCCGTAAAAGAAGTTGCGAATGAAAGAGAAGAGCTTCACTGTGTTATTTCATTTGCGTCAAATCTGATAGGCTACACAGTGTCTATCCCCAGAAGAACGCTACTGAGAAGACCAAAAAGTCATAAATAAATGAGGACTTTGAAGTCATAACCAATGTTGGACCAGTCTCAATCACAATAAAATTTTTAAATAACACATTTAAAAAATAACTTCAACAATCTTTATCCATATATTGCCATACTTGTCCAAATATATACCGTAATATTTGTTCATATCAGTCTCATACATGCTAAATTAAATAAACACAATCTCGCACTCCAAATACTATTTATTTTCCATTACAAATTACTAAAATCATCAAGTACACCAAACAAATTGGCACAAAAATCAAATGAAAAGAGAAAATTCTGATTTTTATTTCAAGTCTGAACTGCCTCTTATAACAAAGCTAGTCCTATTTATAGTGCTAGGACTCTGAACAAAACAGGCAAGCAGCTAAAACGTTACAAATGTACAAATGTAAATGCTAGACATTTTGCTGGCTTAATGAAGGTGTAAATAGAACATTATTTTGCTTCATTTTTGTAACTCTCATGCGTCAGTATTGCAAATATTTTACTTGTTTAACAATAAGAGATGGAAGTGTTAATACTACAGCGGGTAATACTAAATTAATCGATGGCTCCGGAAGAGCAATTATAATATTACTAGAAGAAATAAAAATTATTATAGATGACGCATTATATTCATCTAAGTCTTAAAAAAATTTATTAAGCTTTAAAGATATCCGTCAAAATGGGTATCATATTGAGACTAGAAATGAGAAAGATATTGAATATCTACATATTACAAATTTTAGATCTGGAAAGAAATGTGTCCTAGAGAAATTATCCACGTTATCTTCTGGTTTATACTACACAACTATTAGTATAGTTGAAATAAATGCAATAGTCAATAAGAAGTTTACCAATCAAGATATATTTATCATTTGGCATGACCGGTTAGGCCATCTCGGTTCAACTATGATGCGAAGAATTATTGAAAATTCACATGGATATCCATTGAAAAACTAGAAGATTCTTTAATTTAAGGATTTTTCATGTGCTACTGGTTCTCAAGGAAAATTAATTAAAAGACCTTCAATTACGAAAGTGGGAATTGAATCTCCTGCTTTTCTTAAACGTATCCAAGGGGATATACGTGGACCTATCCATCCACCATGTGGACCATTCAGATATTTTATAGTTTTAATAGATGCATCTACAAGATGGTCACATGTGTGTTTGTTATCAACGTCTAATTTAGCATTTGCTAGCTTACTTACCTAGATAATTCGATTAAGAGCACAGTTTTTAGATTACGCAATTAAGACAATTCATCATGATAATGCGAATGAATTTTCATCGCAAATTTTTGATGAATATTGTATATCAACTGGAATAACAGTTGAAAAATCTGTTGCTCATGTCCACACTCAAAATGGTTTAGTAGAATCATTCATTAAACGCCTCTAATTAATAGCTAGACCGATGCTCTTTAGGACAAAACTTCTTATTTTTGCATGGGGATATGCGATTTTACATGCAGTAGCACTTGTGCACATCAGGCCAACAAGTTATCATAAATTTTTCTCGTTACAATTGATTTTTGGTCAGCAACCAAATATTTTCCATCTTAGAATTTTTGGATCTACAGTGTTTGGTCCTATTGCTCCACCACAACGCACAAAGATGGGACCTCAAAGAAGGTTGGAAATATATGTTGGTTTTGAATCTCTTTCTATAATCAAGTATCTAGAACCATTAACTAGAGATTTATTCACGGCACATTTTAATGATTGCTATTTTGATAAAACAATTTTCCCAACATTAGGGAGAGAAAATAAGCAGTTGGAGAAAGAAATTACATGAAATGAATTATCATTATCTCATCTTGATCCTTGTACAAAGCAATGTGAACTTGAAGTTAAAAGAATAATTCATTTGCAAAATATTGCAAATCAATTACCAGATGCATTTACTGACCTTAAAAAAACTATCAAATCTCATATTCCAGCTAAAAATATTCCTATTAGAATTGATGTCCTAGTAGGACAATTAGAAAGTGCAAGTGAATCTAAGCCACGTTTGAAACGTGGTAGACTAATTGGTTCCAAAGATGAAATTCCTAGAAAGAAGAAAAGAACACAAAATAAAGATGGTATTGTAGAGGAGGTTGGTACTCTAGAAGAGTACGGAGACATAACTAATCAAAATATCCCAGAAGAGGTCCAGGTGCCTGAAGATAATGAAGAGATCTTGATAAGTTATGTCACTATAGGAAAAAGATGGAACCCGAAAAATATAGTCGTCGATGACATATTTTCATATAATGTTGTTGTGGAAATAATGAATCAAAATGAGGATCTAGAACCAAAATTGGTTGAAGAATGTAGACATAAAAATGATTGGCCAAAATGGAAAGATGCAATTCAAGGAGAATTAAATTCACTTTCAAAACATGAAGTTTTTGGACTTGTAGTCCGAATACCTAATGGTGTAAAGCCAGTTGGATATAGATGGGTATTAGTGCGAAAATAAAATGAAAAAAAATGAAGTCATTAGATATAAAGCATGACTCGTAGCACAAGGATTTTGCAAAAACCTGGTATTGATTATGAAGAGACATATTCTTCTGTGGTGGATGCAATCACGTTAAGATATCTAATTAGTTTGGCAGTACACATAAAACTTGATATGCGCCTAATGGATGTTGTTACAGCCTATCTATATGGCTCTTTAGATACAAAAATTTACTGAAAATCCCTAAAGGATTCAAATTGCAAAAGCATGTAAAGATTCTTGAGAAAAATATGCAATTCGTTTGCATAAATCTTTGTATGGATTGAAACAATTTGGAAGGATATGGTATAATCGTCTTAGTGAATATTTGTTGAATGAAAGTTATAAAAATGATCCAATCTCTCCATGTCTATGTGGATGATTTAAATATAATTGGAACTCCTGAAGAGCTCTAGAAAGCAGTTGATTGTTTAAAGAAAGAATTTAAAATGAAAGATCTAGGAAGAACAAAAATTTTCCTCGGTTTACAAATCGAGCACTTAGCAAATGGAGTTTTTCTTTATCAATCAACTTACATTGAAAAAATATTGAAGTGATTTTACATGGACAAACGCATCCATTAACTATTTCAATGGTTGTAAGATCTCTTGATGAGAAAAAAGATCCTTTTCACCCTCAAGAGAAAGATGAAGAACTTCTTAGTCTTGAAGTACCATATCTTAGTGCTATAGGTGCACTGATGTTGCTAACTCAACAAGACCTGATATTGCATTTGCTGTAAATTTATTAGCAAGATTTAGTTCTTCCCTAACAAAAAGGCATTAGAATGGAGTTAAACACCTATTTCGATATCTGTGAGGGACAATTGATATGGGATTATTTTATTCTAATGAATTTAGATCACAACTTATTGGTTATGCAAATGCAAGATTTTGATCAGATCCACATAAAGGTAGATCACAAATGGATATTTATTTACTTGTGGGG